ATACTAAACCCCAAATTGCTCCCCATGCATAGCATCAGTGTGTGAATGTGTATGAATGAGTTAGTTTCTGTTGTGTTTTAAGTCCTATACAAGTACAGGTCCATTTACCATTTACCATATTATGTTCTAAAATCTGCTAATTGTACAGTCACCAAGTGATAAAGATATCCTATATTTTTTAACACCGGAGTGGAAAGTGTCTGTGCCATACTCAGTGACCCAGTGGGAGTGGACCTCCGTAGCCTTAATGCAGCCTGACCCTAGATTGTTTTAAGATGACCTGCCACTAATGACTCTGGCTAGATTAAAACCTCATTAGGCCTCATCGGCATTCCTGACAGTAATGCTCACGACAGCAGACACCCAAGACCTTGTCAAAAACCTGCTGTTGTGACATGTACCCTCATAATCCACCCAAAACACGGGAACAATGTATCCTTTCTCAGCGCGCTTGGCCGGTCAAAGGGACGATTGAGTTTTCTCTTGCGAGTCACAACAAGCAGTTAGTGCAGCTTAACTTCATCCAATTTGGCTGCTTTCTCTGCCCCCATCCAGACGGCATCCTTGAAATATGGACCTTTCTCTTTCCCGATCCTAAATCTTGTTTGGGTTTATGGGCACTAAATGGTGCTTCTTGTCTGTGTTTACTGTTTTAATCTGACATTTGCTTTCATCCCCTGCAAATGTCTTTTTCTGCCCTGCATGTGCATAGAGGAACACTACTTCAGGATATATATTTACGCTGTTAGAAACTCTTGGACTTTGGCAAACGGATAGTTTCAGATTGGCCCAGTGGGTCTGGGTCTGAGTGTTTTTATCTTTTATAATTTGATGATTATTGAAGGATTTGTGACTGAAGTCATTTCAACATTCTCTTAAAGGTCCAGTGTGTAACATTTAGAAGGATCTATTGTCAGAAATGGAATATAATATCACTTTTCATCAGTATAGGAATCATTGTGTTTTGTTACCTTAGAATTAAGCTGTTTTTATCTACACAGGGAGCGGAGCCTGTGGTGGTTTTAGGGAGTTTTGCAGCCACTGTAATTTCTCTTTTGCACTTGGAAGGGGAGGGTGAAGCAAGGGAGTTGCAATCTGAAGCTACTCCACTAGATCCTACACACTGGATGTATAAATTTAAAGGAACTAAAAGTCCCCCTCCAGTCAGAAGGATGTTTTCACATTCATCTGCTGAAAATGGAAAGTTTCTCTGTGTTCACTGAAAATCTGATTTTAAGATCTTCGACAATGACACAGATTGAATGGGAATTCAGCTGCGTATGGCTAAAGGTTACACAATGTGCTGCGTCAAAGACCAACTGTCTTCAGGAACATTAAGTATTTTTTGTTGTATGCGTGTGATGCTTTGGGATTTTGAATTTGTTTCTACCTCTCTCCTGAAAAGCAATCAATAAGAAAGAAAACGACCCACATGCTGTTTTTAAGACACACACTGATTCACCTCGACACTGCTGGTGATACAAAAATCCAACTCTGTGCTTTAATCTGCATTGTTTCCGACAGACAAAACATACTGTAGATTGCTTCCTGTTGTATACACTTATTTCTGCTCTTCTTCTCCATCTACTTCCTCAAAAGAAAGTCACACATGCATATGAGTTTTGGAACTCTTTTGCTAATTAAGAAAATGAGGAAACAATTTTCATTTCTAAAAACCACACACTTGTCAGAGATACATGGTTCTCGAACGGCAGCAGAGACCACAGAGCCAGCGTGCGGCATGATGAACTACTTTCCCACACAGCTTCTTCTCCCCCCAGAGTGCACCACATCTGCCCCATTTGCCCCCCTTTGGCCCGGGGCTGTAGTAGCAATGACTCAGCCCCGCCCCGCCCTCACTCCCTTACCCTGCCACGGGTGACAGAGAGCCCCCTGTTTCCACACAGATCATGAGATCAGTGAGCAGCATTAGCTGACGCCGTGTTGCACCGGCTAAAAGGTGATCATTCTGGAAGGTGATTTTAAGAATGGGAAAGGCGGTCGTTCTCGATTTCTCGGGGACCAGAGTTGAGCTTTAATTCTAAGAAAATGCCTGCTCCTCTGTCGCCCCTGCGGATCACTCAGGCAGTGCCGTGTGACAGCCATTAATGACCGACATGATATCATGGAGACCACTCTCAGTCAGCCACTCTCAGACTTTTAACATACCTGTGGGGGCTTAGCACGCCGGAAAATGGTATAATTGTTATGCCGGTCTTAAAGAGACTGTTTGGGAAGGCATTTGTGCATTCATTTTGCAATATTAGAAAATGTGTTAGTGACCCCGAACACCTTCGCCTGTAAAGCTAACTGATCCAGAAGCCAGTCCCCACCGTGCTCTGCATTTGAATGCATTATGAATACATTAGACAGCGCGTTTTAATATCCTCTTCTCTCACTCAGCAGGCTGATTTCACGTCCGAGGCGAAGAAAGCAGAGCGGAGGTGGTTCATTAAATAAGTGCTCTTTCTCTGCCTCCATGCTTGCCTCATGGACCATACCAGTGCTATAAACTCCTGTATTAATTACTGCTGTTTTCAAGATGTGCTTGTGTATCTTAACGCCTTTGGCAGCCATGTCTTTGTTGGAGTGCACAGGATTGCTGGCATTTAGCAGTGTTTCAAAGGTTTTTAACTGGTTTTTAATTTGAGCAGTTTTTTTTTGAGCAAGTCCTTTGTGCCCAATATGGGCACATAAACATAAAGCACATCTTCCTCACAATTCACCCAGTGAAAATTGTGCAGACATTTGGGGATTTTGTGCAACAGCTGACACTATTTGCCGGATAAAAGTAAATTTGACACATTATTAAAAGTACTTTTATCATTTTTAGATTTTATTTTTCTTGTTAACATGCTTTAAAATCCTGCAAACGGCTCTGCTCTCCATCACATCAAGTATTTTACACACTG